ATGACTTTTGCTAAAATTTCAAAATCAAAAGTTATCAAAACAAATTCTATGGGACTGAGAAGTATTATTTTCAACTTTTTAGTCCATTTATAAAAGCGTTGTATATTAAAAAGTTTTTTTTATATTATTTATTATAATTTGAATACACAATGCTATTGGTATCAGGTTAAGCGCCGTTATTCAAGCTTTGAACTGATGAAATATGTATAGAAATAAACAAATAAAATTTACACGATCTAAATGATCGCAAGTAACCATAATCACTCGGACTAGTACTATGTATACGAGTTGATTGGTATTTATTTCTTTCATTGCAAAAATAATAGTTGTTTGACGAATTGAATTGAACTGTTGATGCTGCAAGGCAGTCAACCTTGAGCTAAGAACGCGTTTCTGGTCGCCAATACACAAATTCTTGATTGGTTGAGCGTGAGGGCAGAAGTTGATGGAGCATTTATTTGTGTCTTACTCGTATTACCCAGCAGCACCGGCGGCAACATTCCGCACAGCAGGTGTAGTTGTCATTGAAAGTGAATGGGAACTTACAAGTTTGCGTGAAGCCGAGTTGGTGTACTAGACAAGATTTTGATACATAGAATAATATACTTATATATATACTATATACATATGTAAGTACATACTTTAGAATCAGGGTGTGCAGCGAAATTTTTTTCTTTGCTTGTAAAGTGGTACGGTCTAATGTAGACATATATATATGTACATATTTACGTATATAACATTAAGTCTAAAACGAACAACTCTGCGTACAGTAAATTCATAGATTTCAATCTCCAATTTTTCGATTTTTCAGGGTGTCCAATGCAATCCGAATGGTCATCGCGATTCAACCGGAAATGGCTTAAACGTACCAACGCAGCCACAAAAGGTCTTTCACAACGCGCGCTGCGCCCGCCACCACAAACCACATCACAATCACAGCCACAATGGTGGCAGCAATAGCAACAGCAATGGCAATAATAACAACAGCAGTAGTAATGGTTTGGCGAACGGTGCGACGGCGAATAGCCTCACCGATTTGTGCCACCATCAATTGGGCAATCCACCCGCACACGGACATGGACACAATCACACACACACGAATGGCGGCGGACATCGACGTAAATCGGAATCAGTGCTATCTACAGACTCAGATATACGTTTTACACGACGTAAATTGGGCGATAGTCAGAAGTGCGGCTGTGCTGTGATAGCGGGTTTTCTAGTCGCCCTTCTAGTGGCTGGCGCATTCGTATACGTGGGATGTAAGTGACGCAGTTTTAACTAAATTATAGTGTTCTACGTAAGAAATGAAGACTTCCGCGAAAATTTAAAAATTAAAAAAAAAAAACAGTGTTTGAAGAAATAATGTTTTTTTTTAAATCGCAAAAATTCGAAAAAATGTTTACTTTGACCAGTTATAACTCAGCGAGTTTTAGAATTTATCTGAACAAGTTTGGCCAAATTTTTGTGTTGTACAAAATTTAGGTATTGATGTTTAGGACCACCCTAATAAAAATAGTTAATACTTTTAATTAATGTGTCATTGCCGTCTTCTAGATACATATTTCCGCCCTGAACCACTGCCGGATCGGACTTTCCGTGGAAAATTTTTGGTCATGAACGACAAATGGTCTATGGAGCTTGTGGATCAAAATTCTTTGAGATTTAATCATAAGGCACGCGATTTCCGGGAACGCATTAATCTGATAGTAAGGCGCTCTGATTTGCGTGAAGCGTACGAAGGCAGTGAAATATTGGCTTTAGATGGGTAAATTTACGACTTGCATTTTTTGTGTGCCATGAAATTTGAAAATGTTTTACATTACTTTAGCACCGAGGACATCAATGAGGTCGTCGTACATTTTAACCTTATATTCGACCCATATGCGGGTCTTGTGTCTACGGCGGACCTCTTAGCACTCTTCGCAGAGGAGATAAACTCACCGAATCGCAAATATTTTGCCAACATGACGATAGATCCACAAAGTTTAACCATCAAAGAGGTAACTGGCCTGATTGAGGAGCCCATCATGTCTTCTTCACCACTTGGCGGTGAAGACGAGACCACCGAGGTCATTACCACCACACCCAAGCCACCTCGTCGTTGTGAGCCGCTTAAATTGAATTACTGCCGCTCGATCGGCTATAATATTACAACCTATCCAAACCTCTTGGGTCATCACTCATTCGAGGAAGTGCAAGCCGATGTCATAGCCTTTCGTGAATTAGTCGATGCAGAGTGCTTTCGTGAGGCTTTCGACTTTGTTTGTCGCCTACTGCAGCCACCATGCGATACACACGGTACTCTCGAACCCACGGCGGGCATTATGTGTCGTGAGTATTGCCAGCTTTTCATGAAGGGTTGCGGTAGTCGATTACCTGCGCGCTTCAAACAATTTTTCGATTGTGAAACTTTTCCTGAGTCAACGGGCATACAAAGTTGCCATCACAAGCCGCATTGCGCGCATGATTTGCAGAATAATGCACAAAGTCCACGGCTCTGCGATGGTTTCGTGGATTGTCCAGATTTCTCCGACGAGCGCACCTGTACATTCTGCACGGGCAATGCATTGTATTGTGGGCGAGGGCGTGCTTGTGTGGCGCGTAAGGCGCGTTGCGATGGTAAAGCAGACTGTCCGGATGGGTCTGATGAAAAAGATTGCCGTAAGTATTTAAGAAAAATAATCGAATAAAAACATGTTTGTAGGAAAACATTTATCTCCCTCTCTGCATCAGTTGCAATAGCTCCATTTGCTGCCGATCTTCTGAAACCAGAGCCAATGGTACCTTATTTGCCACGCTTTCACTCTCAAGGTTTCGCGGTGTTCTCCGAAAAGGGTATTGTAGGAAAACTATGCGCAGAGGGTCTCGAGAATGATAGTAAACTGATAGTACGACAAACTGTGGCAGAATCGCTTTGCAAATCACTCGGCTATGAGTAAGTAAAATTTTATATTTATATCACTTTTAATTTTATAAAACAACAAACTTAATCTTTTTCTTAGATCTGTGGAAATATTTGAAGTGCGCAACGATACCGAAAACGTGGAAGATTATGTGCGCGTGCTCGATCCACATGCGCCGGAGATATCCTTCATACGCACACATTGCCAGAAGCGTCAGGTACTCTATGTAGGCTGTGGTGAGCTCCAGTGCGGCGTGCAGTCGGTTTTATCGCCCAAGCAGTATTTATCGTTGCCCAAAATGTCTTCACCCGGTGACTGGCCCTGGTTGGTAGCGCTATATCGTGAGGATATACACGTTTGCGATGGAACGCTGGTACGTCCTTAAAAAGTTAGCCTTGATTTTGGATATGAACTACTATTCCTTACTCTCTTTCTCTCTCCAACCCTCTGTAGATTTCCCGTGACTGGGTTCTCACCACTGAGTCCTGCTTTCAAGGTCAACCACGTGCCACATGGATGGCCATATTCGGTGCAGTGCGTCTTTCATCGAACGCGCCATGGACACAGCGTCGCCGCATTATTGGCTTGATAAAGAGTCCAGTGGAAGGCTCTACAGCGGCATTGATACGTCTCGAGACGCCAATAAACTTTTCCGATCACGTGCGTCCCATATGCTTACCTGATGAGATTAAACGCAGACAGGAACAACAAGCAAAACGTCGTGCATTTGTACCAAAGGCTGAACGTTTAGAAGGCAAGCAACCAGCGCCGACCGTGCCACCCACACCCAGCGCTGTTCAACGCCGCCTAGCGGAATCACAAAAATTCTTTGTTTCGCCGGCAGTCGATGAGGATTTAGCTGACACGCAGAGCATAAGTAGCAGCAAAGAGATGAGGGATGAGTACGCACGCGTCATTTTTGATCATTCCGAAGCGGCAGCATCACAAATGCCGCATGCTGAGGCGTTGACACAGTCAATGGAACAAAAGTTCAATGAGTATCCATTACCAAAGAGTGCGCCACAAGTGCATTATTATAGTGGTGCTGCGTCCTCAGCTGGTCGGTATGCGCCTGTACCTGTGGTCGGGAGTGGTATAGCTACTGGTCGACCACCATTAGCTGGTGTGGGTAGCAAAACGTCACCGGCGCCGCCAAAAGCTGAAGAAATCTGGACCAATTGCAATACATTGGGTTGGTCGAGACAACGCGACCATCTGCAACGGGTGCAGTTGAAAATTGGTGATATGGCGCCATGTGAGAACATCTCCATAGCAACTGTGAATAGCATGTGCACGGAAGCCACATATCAAAAGCACGATTGCACGGTAAGTCGAATATTTGTAATATTTTACGAATTTAAAAACTTTAAAATTTTATTATACTACGAATAAGGGTAGCCAACTGATTTTTGAGAATTCCCCGATACCGACAATGAAATTCTCCGATTTTGCCCGAAATTTCGTGAAATTCCCCACCCATAGATATCTCCTTAAGTATTTACAAACAAACACACAAAAATTGAATTTATTTTGATATATTGCCGGTCCTGGTTGTTTTATTTTTAAATTTAATTCGTGTATGCATTCGTAAGCCAAAACACACTTTTATAAAGTTAGTTAACAATCTTTATTTAATATATTTATATAATATTTACATACCACTGTATGGTTGAAAAAAGTTTAGTGACACCAATTATTATTTATTTTTTGTTATTTGATTTGAGTTATTTCTTTATAAAAATACAGTTCATTCTTTAACAAATACCGTATAAATCCAAGTTTCAGACTTTGTGCAATATTTGAAAAAATTCAACAAATTTTCGAAAACATTTCGAGTCTTTTTATTCGATTTCGCAAAATTATAGTAAAGTGCAAGCTTTAAGTGTTTAAAAATTTTCGCTTTAAATTTTTTTTGCCGTAGTTTTTGCGATTTTCTTACATATAAAAAAATTATGTTAATTCGTTATATGAAAGCAAATGCGACAAAGAAGATTCTAAAAAATCAACGATAATTTTTGGCTATTTGAAACTTTATTGTACTAAAACTGAACGAGCAGAAATTCCCCACAAAAAACGGTCCATTCCCCGATTCCCCACGAATACTAAATAAGTAAAATCTGTCGTATTAGTTCGAACCTGCATGCATCGACCTTTAATTTTAAAGCCCTCTCCTGACTTTATGAGTGGTGACTTTACCAATTCTTTATAAATTCATATGCTGGTTTTTCCATCATTAAAGTACAGTCAGACGTGGAAATTAGGGTTGCCAGACGTACCTCATTGGGGGCGATATACCCCACTTTTTGTATATCGACTGCTGAGTGGAAGATCGACCTATCTCTGCAGCCAGTTTGGAAACGCCCTATCTCAAAAAACTTTTCAGGAACGGCCTACTTATGAATTTGGCTGAAGAACGCCCTATTTCAGAATTCATTTCAAAAACGCCCTATCTCAGCCGCCGATTCAAAAACGCCCTATTTCATCACATTTTCTATATTTTGAAGTGAGATAGAGCGTTTCTGAGCCGAATTCTGAGATAGGGCGTTCTTCAATAAAATTCCGAAATAGGGAGTTCTTAAAAAGTTTTTTGAGATAGAGCGTTTTCGAACTGGCTGCCGAGATAGGTCGATCTTCCACTCCGCAGACGATATTGAATTCAAATGTTAATTTTTTGAGATATTGTTTTTTCATTTTTGTTGGTGGTTGATTTGTTCAAGGGCCCCCTGGAATTATCTGACGAATAATTGTTTTGGACCCCTTCAGGAGTCCCGTTAAAAAAAAAATAATAATTAACGTCACCAAAAAAAAAACAAAAGCTTAGAATATTATATAAGAAAAATGGAAAATTTTTACGTTGCTATTCCTTTATAGATGCGAAATAGTAGGTATAGTTGCAGGACACGATTAAAGGCTTTGTTATGCATT